TGTTGTTTTTCATTGTAAGAGATGTATGGGAAAGTATCCCTCCTTACGTAGAGATTGTTCTCAACTGTATTGTAGCAGATGCAAGAGATTATCCTTGAAATGTAATGAACATTTTTGTGAATGTATTTTGATGTTACCTGTTTACTTACAAGTTTCACCTTCTTCTCTTTCGCATCCCACTTTAGACGTTCAGGTTTCCTCGGACTTGAATCAGAGAATACCTCGCCTCTTTTGACTTAGCCATTTCCGGGTTACTTTGACCCTTGTGGCGTCGCCATACCCCCAAGATCCCCTGGTCGCTCATGCGATCAACAGATCTTGTGTTCCAGACTTAGCCGTTCTCTCAGGCTTTCTTGCCACGGCGTCGTCTTCAACCTTGGTCGCTTGACAGGGTTCGATGCTTCACCCACTACTGGGTATCTTAGCACGAATCACCGTGCAGTTTTAGGCTTAGCGATCTCTTGTGGTCGCTCCTTTTTTTTTTGAGAATTGAAGACAAGATGTGCGAGAAAGCTGGTTTTATTAAACTTCAAGAAAAAGACATGGCTGGAATACAATCTATTGATAAAATTTGATAAGGTTGGCGGCATTCCATACTCGCGGAACGTCGCCACCGGTTGGAGTCTGCAATCTAAATGTCCCATCAGCCAACACCTCCTTTATGATATATGGCCCCTCGAAGCTTTTAGCAAACTTCCCTCCATCGGTCGGCCGGCTGACCTCCCTTTTCCGAAGGACCCAGTCGCCCACCTTGAACTGTCTTGGTCGCACCCGCTGGTCGTGATATGACTTGACCTGCCGGCGGTAGTTCTCTGCCCGCATGTATGCCCTTTCCCTTCGCTCATCAATGAGGTGCAGTTCTGCTCTCAAGTTCTCTTCATTTTCTTGAGCATCAAACGTCTCTACCCTATAACTCAACAACGAGGTCTCCGCTGGAGCCCTTGCTTCAAATCCATATGTGAGTGAGAAAGGGGTTTCACCTGTGGCCTTCCTTGGGGTAGTCCTGTAGGTCCACAAAATGTAGGGCAATTCTTCCACCCAGGCACTTTTGCATTCCATTATCTTCTTCTTGAGGCCGTCCATGATGGTACGATTGGTGTTCTCAACCTGCCCATTGATTTGGGGGTACCCGACCGCTGCATAGCTGTGTTTTATGCCCCAGCTCTGTAAAAACTCATTGAACCCTCCGGCCTCGAATTGGGTTCCATTGTTAGTGATGATCTGCTGGGGTACCCCAAATCGGCACAAAATTTGCTTGGAAACGAACTTCGTCATCTGTTCCGCAGTGATGGTCGGCACGGGTGCGGCCTCGACCCACTTGGTGAAGTAGTCAATCGCGACCACCAGGTATGTGTTGTTCCCTGTCCCCCAAGGCAAAATGCCCACCAGATTGATGCCCCACCGAGCAAAGGGAATTGCCGTACTGATCGGGGTATAATTTGTCGCCGGTCGCCCCGGCACCCTTTGGAATTCCTGGCAGACCTTGCATTTGCGCACGTACTCTGCGCAATCTCTGATAATTGTTGGCCAAAAGTATCCTTGTAGGGTTACCTTCCTGGACATCGTGAAAGCTCCCTGATGTGCTGAGCATATTCCTTCATGGATTTCCTCCATCAGTTTCTGCGCCTCGCCCGCTCTTAAGCACCTCAACAATCTACCATTGTACGATCGCTTGTACAGCCGACCGCACTCCAGCGTGTAGCTGGGTGCACGTCGCTTTACCACCTTTGCTGCGATTGGGTCGGTAGGTAGCGACCCGTCGAGGATGTACATGGTAATCTCATCAATTCAGTCCGGCTCCTCTCTGAGAGTGATGATCAACACTTGTCCGGGACTGATGCTTGGTTCGAGCAATTCTTCTTCCTGAGTCATCGCCCTAATATGATCTGGGGAATCCGGGCCAAGTTTTGACAAGATATCTGCCTCAGCGTTCTCTTCTCGAGGGACCTGTTCTATCCGGTATGCCCCAAATGCTTTAAGCAACTCCAGGGCGGTGTCTCTATACCTCTTCATCCGCTCATCCTTGGCCTCAAACTCTCTAGTGACATGGCCTACTACTAGCTTGGAATCGCACCGGACTTGGATTCGCTTAGCTTTTAATGAAGCTGCCAACCTCAAGCCGCAAAGTAGCGCCTCATATTCAGCCTCATTGTTCGAGACTTTAAACCGGAACCTCACGGAGTAGTACGCCTTGAATCCTTCTGGTGATATCGCTACGACACCTCCCCCCGAAGCATCAGTCGCGGACGATCCATCGGTATACACAGTCCACCAATTCCTTTCGGGGTCTTCTCCATTGGGCTCTACCTCTCTCGCAGTGCACTCCACCACGAAATCTGCTAATGCCTGCCCCTTTATCGCCGGTCGCGGCTTAAATTCTATCTGAAAAGACCCCAGGAACACCCCCCACTTGCTGACCCGTAACGGGGCATTTGGGCTTCGAAGAAGTGTTCCGATGGGAATTTGTGATAACACATGGACCGGATGGGCTTGAAAATATGGGGTGAGCTTTTTCACCGTACATACCACCGCAAAGATGGTTTTCTCCATGTTTGTATATCTCAACTCCGCCCCTCGCAGCTCCCGGGCCACAAAGTACACAGGTCGTTGTGCGCCCTTCTCCTCCCTCACAAGCACCGAGCTCACAGCTCGAGGAGAAATTCCTAAGTATAGGAATAAGGTCTCTCCGAGCTCTGGCTTCGAAAGCACCAGTGGGGAAAGGAGATATGCTTTTAACCCTTCAAAGGAACGTTGACATTCTTCGGTCCAGACGAACCCTCTGCTCTTCTTAATGGTCTGAAAGAAAGGAGCCGCTCGATCAGCTATCTTTGACAAGAAGCGACTGAGAGCAGCAATCCTGCCGGTGAGCTGCTAGACCTCCTTCACATTTCGCGGAGGCTCCATCTCCAAAATCGCCTTTACCTTTTCCGGATTAGGCTCGATTCCTCTCCGGCTGACCATATGCCCTAGGAACTTGCCCCCCTGAACCCCAAATGTACACTTCTTGGGGTTCAGGCGGAGCTGGAATCTCTTCATGATCTTGAATACTCTCTCCAGGTCGCCGGTATGAGACTCCGTCCGTTTGGACTTGACGATCATGTCGTCCACATACGCTTCCATGCACCCCCTAGTACCGGCGCGAACAGCTTGTTCACCATCCGTGCATAGGTCGCCCCAGCATTCTTCAAACCAAAAGGCATCACCTTGTAACAGTATACCCCATTGGGGGTGATGAAAGCGGTCTTTTCTTCATCCGCCACGGCCATCTTGATCTGATGGTACCCACTGAATGCGTCCATAAAACTCATCAGCTCACACCCTGCTGTCTCATCAACCAACTGATCAATGTTGGGGAGAGGAAAAGGATCCATCGGGCAAGCTTTATTTAGATCAGTGTAATCGACGCACATCCGCCAGGTATTCCCTTTGGGTGCGAGGACTACATTTGCCAACCGTTCCGGGTAGCAGACTTCCCGGATGTGCCCAATGGATTGCAGGGTGGTCACCTGCTTGGTGACAAACTCTCTCCGTTCTGAGGAAAGGAAACGCTTCTTCTGTTTGACCGGCTTGTGGGTCGGATCCACTGCCAATCTATGGCAGATGATTTTTGGGTCGACCCCTGGCATATCCTCTGGTCCCCAAGCGAATAGCACCTTGAATGCTCGGAGGACCTCCAATAACTGCTCCTTTANGGGTGGTCACCTGCTTGGTGACAAACTCTCTCCGTTCTGAGGAAAGGAAACGCTTCTTCTGTTTGACCGGCTTGTGGGTCGGATCCACTGCCAATCTATGGCAGATGATTTTTGGGTCGACCCCTGGCATATCCTCTGGTCCCCAAGCGAATAGCACCTTGAATGCTCGGAGGACCTCCAATAACTGCTCCTTTAATTCAAGCGGTAAGGTTTTACCTACCTTCACCTTCCGCTCTGGCTCAACCGAGTCCAAAGAAACTTCCTCGACCTCTTCCGCCGGCTCAGCTCGGGGTCGCCCCTCCTCCTTCTGGATCGCCGCACAGATCGTGCTCACATTTTTGTCGACTCGGGCTTGGCTTTTGGTCGCCCTGACGTAGCACGACCGTGACAGGCTCTGGTTCCCCTTTGCTACTCCCACCCCTGTGGGAGTGTTGAACTTTAAGCATAAATGCGCGAGGGAGATTACGCACTCCAAATCCTCCAACCCTGGTCGCCCCAGAATCAAATGGTGTGCACAGTCAAGCTGCACTACCATAAATTCCATGTCGATCCAGAGCCGGTGGGTGCCATCCCCTACCCCGGCCTTCACCGTGATAGTTCCTTCAGCCTCGATAGTATCCCCGGTAAACCCTGATAGCGGCGCATGGATTGGTTTCAGGTCGCTTCAGGACAACCCCAACTCCTTAAAGGTGTTGCTGTACATAACATTGACCGAGCTGCCTGTATCGACCAAAGTCCGGTGAACAACCACATTATTGATTTCTACTTTTATCACCAGAGCGTCCTGTGAGGGCTGAGGACTGGTGGATAATCCTCGTCAGTAAAGATCAAAGGTTCCTTCTTCTTCCGCTTAGGCAGCGGCGGCCTTTGTACCTCGGCCAGGTACACCATGTTCTTCCACTTCTTCCGGGAGGATACCGAATCTCCTCCAGTGTTTCCTCCCATGATGAACCGACACCCCAGGTGTCGGCGACCTTGCCTCTCCTCCTCATCTAGATCGTCACAATCTCGCCCTAGATGCCGCCGTCCATCTTCTTGCCCCTCTCCTGCTGTGATCGCTGCCGTGGGGGCTGGCGGCCTCCTCCAGGTCCGGTTACCTGAGGACGGTCGCTCCGACCGAGGAGGCGGCCCTCTAGCGATCAGCTCATCTGTCTCTTTCTTCAACGTAACGCACTCCGACGTGTTGTGGGTGCTGTTACGGTGGTACTCGCAGTATTTGGGTGCATCTTGCACACCATAACTTTCCCGACTATGAAGAGGGGCAGGCAGCGACTGTATCGCATGAACAGGATGCCTGTTTGCATGATACCCGGTGGGGTTCGGCCCCTTACTATAGTCCTTCCTCTTCTTTCCTTCTGCCACCGGTGGCCCGCTTTTCTTCTCCTTCCGGACTGGTGGCTCATCATCTTCTTCTTCCAATGCCAGGTACTTCGCTCTGGCCAACATCTCTTGATAGGTCGAGAGAGGATTCCATCGCAGCTCCTTACGCACATCCCCTTGGGGGAGTGCAGCTTGGAGCATGGCGATCAGGGCTTGGTCGTCCGCCCCTTGGACGTCCCTAGCCTCCTTCTCCCACCTATTAATGAACTCCCGGAGCTGTTCCCCCTTCCTGATCCTCACATTGAGCAAATGCGAGAAGGGGAGCTTTTGTCTCCGGCTGGATGCGAAGTGCTCCAAGAACTTGTGGGCCAGGTCGCTCCACTTATCTATCGGCCCCTTGGGTAACTTGTGAAACCACTCACAAGCCTGCCCTTCTAGTGTCGCCAGGAAACATCGACACTTGATTTCTTCCGGGTACGCATACATGACCACGTTTGCCCCGAAGCGAGCGAGGTGGTCCTGGGGATCAGTCGTCCCGTTGTACGCCTTGATTTGGGGAGTTTTGAAATTATCCGGGAGGGGACAAGACATTATCCTCCTGGAGAAGGGCGTTACCTCACTGAAGACCGCCTGGCGGTAGGGGTTCTGGGGCCGCTTCTCCAGTTGTTCGTACATTCTCCATAGCTCGGCTGCGCCCTTATCCTCGACCAACGTCCGTTGCTCCTCAAAACCGATCTTGGAGGTCGCTGTGGACTCCCCTCTTTTCTCCTTGAGCGTGTCCCTCAAGTCGCCCTTCCGGGCCGACCGAGTGTCTTGCAACCGTTCGAACGCAGAGGTCCGAGGTTTCTTTGATTTGGGATCTCCTAATCGGTCAAAAGCAGACATCCGCTCAAAGGAGGACGACTCGTCCTCTTCGTCTAGTCTGGAAAGCGCATCCGCCATCACAGCTTTCCCATTAGGCTTGGTCGCCTTCTTCTTCTGGGACCGCCTCACTTTATTCTTTTTCCCTTGGGAGCCCGCAGGTTCAGCCTTCCCGCATGTGGGTCCCCAGCCACATCTTCTACCACAACCTCGCGGTTGGGCGCAAGTGCAACCAGCACCTCCTTGAATTGTTCGGCTGTGATCCTAACCCTCTGGATGAGGGCCTCAGCCTCCCCCGTGGTGATGGGAGGGTTCAGGCCTCCAGTGGCGCTGTTCTCCCCCTGTTGGGGAACTCCGGTACCTATATTGGCGTTACTGCGTGTTTGCACCATCGTCTCTGTGGAGGATTTCTTCTGAGTATGATTCTCGAACTCTCAACAAGAGCACCAATTTCATGGACAATAAATCCACCAAATGATCCGGTTCACAGAGCGGATCGTAAGAACAAAATTAAGAACGAGAATTCGAGAATTGGGTGTGTATTACTAGCTTGATTTAGCTTGAGTTCTCCCCTCTCGGGTCTCCTCTATTTATACATGAGCTATATGCAATTAAGGTAACGCATAATCGATGGAGTCTATCCCGCCAAGGGCGCGATCCCCTTTTCCCGGCTCCGTAACGGCCAATCTGCTCCGTCTCCTTCTCCGGATTGACTCTGCCAACTGCGCTCGGCCTGAGGTTAACTAGGCCCAGCTCCACGGGCCGGCCCAAGCTTGAGTATTTCACAGGTGCTTGACCCGAAGTTGTGTAAACGGTTCATTTGGGCCGTCCACTGGATATCGGCCAATCAATATCAAATGGTTGATTATGAATTGAGATTCAATTTATATGGATGTTCGACGCACTAGATATGCTTACTCAGCTTTACACCTGAGCATGTAGTATGTTTTATTTGCTACGCGAAGGTAAACATAAAGAATGAAGTGGCGAGTTCATGGAAGCAAATGGGGCGAGACGGTCTTGATGGATGTGTGGATTTAAATAATTAATTATGATTGTTATGAGACATGTTTTAAATTTGCTTCCACATTATTAAACACTTCGTATTTCTACAATTACGTATTGAATATTATTTATAATAAATAAAGATGTTTGAAATATTTTAAATGTTACGATTACCAAGGTAATACTTTAACCGAAAGGGGCTGCAGACCTGGGCGGATTAGGGTGTTACAATTTGGTATCGGAGCAGGAGAAAGGTGCGTGGGAATCGGCCGGAGAGGCTACTGATATGTGGGTGCGGACTGCTAACTGCATCAGGGAAACAACTAGGGAAGTGTTAGGTGTGAGCTCTGGCTCTAGGAGTAGGCGTCAGGGTGATTGGTGGTGGAGCGATTCAGTCCGAAGTAAGGTGGAAGCTAAGAAGGTGGCGTAATTGAGGTAAATGGGCTGCAATGTTGAGGAGGAAAGAGCGGCGTTACGAGTGGAGTACAAGAAAGCACGTAAAGAAGCTAAGTTAGAGGTAACGAGGGCAAATAATGTCGCTTTTGAACGCCTCTACAAGGATATTGAGGAGAAAGGCAGTGTTAATCCACTGTTCCGGCTTGCTAAAGTGCGTGAGAGGAAGGCCCGAGATCTCGATCACGTGAGATGCGTGAAGGGCAGCGATGGTAGAGTGTTAGTTGAGACTGCCAAGGTGGCTAAGCGCGGGGGGAGTACTTTAGTGAACTCTTAAATGCGGGAGGAGACCAGTGACTAGTTCTTGATGAAGTGGGACAGCCCGGGGCCAATCGTGTGTATTGCTGGCGCATTTGCCTGGAAGAGGTGGTTCGGGCTCTCCGCGGGATGCGTAGTGGGAGAGCTTTGGGACCTGATGAGATTCCGGTGGAGTTTTGGAAACATGCAGGTCGTGGTGCGTGGGTTTGGTTAACCAAATGTTATCCTCCGGACAGCAAGGATGCCTGATGAGTGGAGGGAGAGTCTCTTGGTTCCTCTGTTTAAAGGCAAAGGTTGAGAGCTGCGAGAATTACAGAGGCATCAAATTGCTTAGCCACACCATGAAGGTTTGGGAGCGAATCATTGAGTATAGGGTGCAGAAAGGGGTTTGCATCTCTGAGAACCAGTTTGGTTTCATGCCTGGTAGATCGACTACAGAGGCCATTCATCTCGTGAGGAGGTTAATGGAAGAGTATAGGGCTAGAAAGAAGGACCTTCATATGGTGTTTATTGACCTTGAGAAGGGAGGTCTTATGGAGGTGCCTTGAGGCGAGAGGAGTTCCCATCGTGTAACTATCTTTCAACTGATTGATTCAAGATTGTTTAATATATTGATTGGTTTAGTCACTTACTTCAAAGGGTTTTAATGGTTTGATAGTTGGAGTTTGTTTTAAATCAATGTTTCTGGGAATCTTACTCCTTTATAATAAAGTAATCAATGTTTCTGTCTATGCATTGGGATTCTAATACAAATATTATGGTATTAGAATCTCATCCACATATTGTTTGTTTGACTGACTTTTTTTTCCTTCTATTACTCAGTTGGGAGTACTACAAAGCTAAGTTATGTTATAATCAACCAGCATGTTATCAATGCATAAAGAGCACAAATAGTAGTTAGTACAGATAGTGATTTAGGAGAAGCTTCTTCCCTAATGGCATTTGGTTAATTGGTTATACAGTCCAAATGCACAGATATGATTGGTGCTCCCATCAATAGTCTAGAACACGTTACACCCAAAGACTTATTAATGATTCTATATTTTCACCATAATATCATGGTCTGGGCATGTCGCATTTTTGACGTAGGTCTGGGCATATGCAAGCTCTAAATGTGATTTTAAATATATTAGATTTATACTAGACTTTTTTAACATTGCTGACTCTTTACTGGATTTTTTAAAATGTTATAGCGGGATGTCCACATAATATTGGATTATAAATAAAGTAATGATGTTTTAGGCATACTGGCTGTACTGCCTTTATTTTGCATTATAAACATATTCACTTTTTATTGGCTTTATACTGGATTTTTAGTCATACTACCTTTATATTTGCTTTAGAAACATATTTCCCTTAAAATTTCTAATCTTTGAGTAGTTGAGGATTTACCTGGGTCTACGCATATTGGCCTCTTTTGATATTGCCTCAACTATCACCTTGCTCAGCTCCTCTGGTAGTGACCTTCATCAGCCTCCGTTCTGTCTAAGTTTAAGTCTAGCTAAAAGTTGTAATGAGTTAAAAGTTGTAATGACGTTTGTGATGCAAGATCTTATCTTTGGAGCTGTAAGCATGTGATCGTCGTTATAGTGGTTGAATTTAAAAAAAAACTTAAATTAATATGGATGTATTTTGATAATTTTTATTTTTCCTTATTATTTTGCAGGATAGAGAATTTGTGCCCAGGGCTGGAGCATATGCAAACCCATATTATTTGCCATAATGTTCCACTAGTTCAACAAGTCCAGGTTAAATTATCACGAATTCCAAAAATTAGTTTTGAAGTGGTCTTATAAACTTCTTATAATATTTCCGTACATGTTTATATTGGATCATACTCATTGTTCAATTCTTTGAGTGTTTGGTATCTTGAGACCGTGATGAATCTTTTGGTAGTTTTGTAAAGATGAATCGAAATTGTGCATGGAAAAATCATGTACTCCCTGTGTCTAAAAAAATACTTTTATTTTAGTAAGGTACATTGCTCACAAAACACAATATACTTTTAATGTTTATACGGGTTGAGAATTATTACTCTTCTTTATAGAGAAAAGGTTATTGATAAACAAAAAATTTTTGGGGACGAAGTATATATCAAATTTTCACCAATATCTACAATTGAGAGTGTTCGAGCTTCTTAAAAATTCATAAGTATCTCTTGATCTCTAGGATTGTTATTTTTCTCAAGAAAATAAGTTCATCTGTTTATGAGAAACAAGTACACATTTTCTATTTAGTAGTTTCTTTTTTCCGTATGATTTTGGAAAGGTGGTGAAATCTAACCCTCAAATTAAGTGTCAATAATAATCCAAATGAAGAACTAATTTTTTTATTGAATGGGGTTTTTCAAATAAAACAAAGCAGTTGTATAACCAAGGTGTGGGTTTCTCAAATAAAACAAAACAGTTGCAATCAAGCCCAAAGCAAATTCAAAATGAAGGAAGCACTATGAGTTTGCCTCTCTGATGCACCTGAAACAAAAGAAACTACTTGGGTATATAATTGTAATGCCAAGGCACGAACTTTCAATAATGGTTAGTGTATAATTTCAAGGTTTAGTATTCCAAACTCTATTTATGCTTTCATATAATTAATTTCTAAGAAAAAAACAATACAGTTTTTTGCCAGCACACCCTCCATAAAATCTCATCAAAATGTTTAAAAGCTTAGGCAAACTCTCTCTTGGAAAACGCTACAATGCCCAGACCATCCTCTACGCCTACTATGTCGATTGATATCTATTTTTCTTCCAGTAATCGACTCTTTTTCTCTATGACAACAATAGAATCTGCAAACTCATCTCATCTCTTACTCCTTTCTTCTGCAACAATTGAAAATTCTACTAACTTATTGGCTTCCTTGATGTATGATTGATCGAGTAGCATCTCTCTAATAAGTAATGTTAATCCTCTTCAAAAAACAATCAATTAGTTTTGTTTAATCCATTTCGTAATTCGTTGCCTTAGATGATTTAGCATCATTTTTTTAAATAAACAGATCATTTTTTTGCAAATTATGTAGTAAGTGAATAAGTAGTTGTATTCAATCAGGCTTCTCAAATATTGACTCTTCTTAAATTCTATGTGTTGGATGATATTTATAATATAAGTCTCACTGTTTCAAACAGTGGAAGTATATGCTTCTGTACTCAACCTTTTCTGCAAACTTCATATCAAAATTAATAAAACTAATATATCCTTTACTGCAGATACTTTTGCACTATTCATTGATTGATGGTCTTTTTTTGAGTTTGTGTAGGAAATTTCTATCAATGACACAGTTTGAAGAAGTCTGGTAGGAAGTTTTGAGAAGAGAATAAGGTTCAATGAATGTCTTTGCTAATAATTTGAAAATATAATATTTATTTCTTTTGTTATGTAGAATTTATCTTTGCCTTTTTCTTGATATTGTCTTTAATGAGCCAATTCTTTTATCTTCCTGATGTTGATCTTCCATTAAATTGAGCTTAAAACTGGAACTCATTCAATCCAATCCAACATGCAGTTTATATCGCATGGTTGTGATATACCTTCAACCATTAGACAAATCCTTGCAGTCGTGGGTATACATATATTGATTTTGTCAACTCATTCTCTTACTATCAATATCCTCTTTTATTTCTTTTTCCTTTTCTTTAAACCATGGTATATGTGGACACTCAGTCCCCTTATTCTTGATATGATTTTTCCCCTTTACGACAGCCATTACTGCAGAGCTGGCTTGAGAAATCAAATGAGGAAGGTTGACTTTCTCATGCATTCTTCTCTTTCCAAGCCAGGTAATTAGTGTAATACTCTGGCAGGTGGACCATGATTTCCTAAACCAGTTATACTTTAATTGCATAGTCAAATTGCATGATTCACATTTTACACTACTTTTAATGAGTGTACGTTCCATGGTGTGACTTCTCTCTTCAAGGTTTATTTGGAATAAATGACACAATCCTAAAACATTTTTTTTCAATGGAAACTTTAGAACAATGGATGGGCATTTCCTTAAAATTTTAGTTTGTTTTTTTTACTATTTTCCCTACATTGTGCCTATTTTGCAGACAACACAACGCCAATGTTAATCACCTTTTCAAGTGTTTGCCCTAAGATCAGGAAAGATGAGCTATCTTTGGTGGCTTCTTGAAGATCAATATAAACGTCCCCTTAGTGTGAAGGCTAGAAGTTTTTCATGGTAATTACTAATTGCATGCTTTTTTTTGTAGCTTTTTGTTTTTGCAGCATCTTATAATGGTGGTTTGTTCTTTTACTTGCTGGCATTCCCTGGCAAATATGGAAAATGTTCAACTCTACTATATGGTATCAACAACATTATGTCTTTTTCTATAATATTGTGACTGTTATGGTTGATTATTTTTTATCACTTCAATATTTGCACATAGATGTGAAATGATGTATAATAGGTGGTTGCCAATTTGTCTACTTTTATTGTTACTTGAATATAATTGGTGGAACTAAAAACCTCTCTTATGGTGCTAGAGTACTTTTAATCTACTTAATGCTCTTTCGTACTATATACATTCTGGTCTTCTACTTTATCATTATAAAACTCTTATGTGTAGCTAATTAGCTATAGAAATGCATATAAACACTCAAGTGAACTTTAGGATTGCCTAAAAGTTTATGATTTCTCTTATTTAGTTACTTCTGCTTTCTTTGTTAGTGGTGCTTCGAGTTATGCTTAATGTCATTATTGTGAACTAAGACGATGACCATTTGTTAATATTTGATGAAGGAAATGTTTGACAATGTACAATTAAATATTCCCTTTGTGAATATTACTAATTTACTGTATGTTTGGTGATTGCTCTAATTGGTATATATGAAGCGGATGAGAAAGAGAATTCAACGCTCTTCTGTCATCTAAAAGACAAATTTTTCTGGGTTGAGAACGACATATACATACTGAGACTTGATGCGGGATTCTAACTGTTTGGCAGTGATGGACAATAAATCCACCAAATGATCCGATTTACAGAGCGGATCGCAAGAATAAAATTAAGAACAAGAATTCGAGAATTGGATGTGTATTACTAGCTTGATTTAGCCTCAGTTCTCCCCTTTCGGGTCCCTTCTATTTATACACGAGCTCTCAACAATTAAGGTGAAGCGTAACCGATGGAGTCTAGCCCGCCAAGGGCGCGATCCCCTTTTCCCGGCTCCGTAACGGCCAATCAGCTCCGTCTCCTTCTCCGGACTGACTCTGCCAGCTGCGCTTGGCCTGAGGTTAACTAGGCCCAGCTCCTTGGGCCGGCCCAGCTTGAGTATTTCACAGGTGCTTGACCCGAAGCTGTTTAAATGGTTCATTTGGGCCGTCCTCTGGATATCGGCCCATCA